AATCTGAGTAAAATCGTATTTAGCGATTAAACAAAAACCGAATTACATTCTAACAAGATAGAATTTATTAGAAGAACGAAAGCAAAAAATAAATGATTCTGTTATACCAGAGAAAAAAAAAGGAAAGTTTGGCAGCCAGATTATAATGGTTAGGGAATATATAAAAATGGTTCTAGAAAGTTGATAAAATTTTCCCTATTAAATGCTAAAAAGTTTGGTAATTTTTCTTTTTCTTATTTTCATTTTTCGAAGCTTTACACAAATACGTGTTTGAGTCTAACAATGGAAAATATATACTTTAATTATTAGTTTTAAGGTGTGCTATATATGGGATAACGTGCTCAATATCAAAGATAGAGCGTATGTAAATATAAATATAAAAGTGAACATTCAAGTCAACAACCAAAGGTGACAGGCTGTTTCATGCAGGACGCAATCGTCAGGCTGCCTGACGATTGCGTCCAGCATGAAACAGCCTGGTTTAACTTTGTCATTGCTCTCAACATTGCAATTATTATTTCATTCTCACTATTTTACCGCCACCATAATTACCATCGCCGCATTATTTTACAATTATACTCCCCTATCAAAATTAGTGTCAATTTTCCGTAAAAATAACAATAAGTATTATAAATTAGAATTTCTACTATTTATATAAGTGTAATCATCTATAACACGCAAACAAGCAACGTTAAAAATAATAACAAAAATATCTATCATAATCTTATACAGAATCCATTTTAAGTAATGCAAAGCCGAGATGGATATACGTACACATGCGTGTATGTTTTTGTGTGAGGAACTACCTATCAAGGTTTCGCCTAATGGATCTTCAGGGTAAACCCTGAAACTAGGACCTACCAAGCGTATATCCTGAAGGTCCGTTAGGTGAAACCTTGGTAGGTAGTTCCTGGCTCACTACGTTTTTATCCTTTTGTCTACTTAGTGTATTGAGTACTTTTACGCTTTTTTTCTTCCTAATTTACTCGATTGCTGTTTTTTATTCATTTGACAAGGCATTGCGGTGTTGGGGGATTTTCCCCCCGACCAACACGGATGTTTTTAGTTTTTTCTTTTTTTATATATATATACACCCATCATCTCGTGTGACAAGCTAATCCCTGTTGCAGACACTAGTTCAGACAGATTTATGTTTCTTCAACACTCACAAAGCCAACATTTGATTTATACTGCCACGATTGTAGTTAAAGATATCCAGTACACTTAATCTGTTGAACTCGATCACTTGTAACTTTGTGCTAGCAAAATCATTGACAACTTCCAAATAGATTTGACTCTCCAATTTTCCTGTCACTAGGTAAATGTCATAGTGGTTTCTAGATTAGCGTTTTCATCACATGACCAGGTTTCTAATTTTGCTCTGGTCGGGTTGTCAAATAAGTCATTTCATGATCCACCTGAGAAGTCCCTGAAGCACACAGGCACACACACGCACACACACAGACAAACACATATGTATTCATATATATGCACATACACACAGAAACACACACACACGCGCGCGCACGCAAACACACACACACACGCGCACGCACACACACACACACACACATATATATATATATATATATATATATATATATATATGTATGATATAGTTTTATGGTACGCTATATTTATGGGTTAAAGTGATCGATAACAGGGACAGAGCGTATGTGGATATAAAAATGGACATTGAGGTCTGCACCCGGCGACGTCAGTGTGTTTCATGTTTACACCCAATCGTCAGGTTATCATATATAACAATTCTTGCAAAAGAAGAAAATACAGATTTTTCATACATTCTTGAATTCCAAAAGGGGAGCTTTTTAATCATGTTGTTCGTGTCTCTGACTGAAGAAGTTGCCATTATCTTAGCCTTATCATGGTTTGCACAAGACTAATAGAAAAAAATCATACAGTTTCATATTTCATAAAATTTCCTTTCATAATTTTCAGTAGGAGTAAATAAAAACGTACACCATTTTCTTTTACTAAATTTAGAATTCATTCATTAGCAAATGCTCGTCTTTAAATTAACGCTGAGAAAAATCTGGTTCTTAAATTGTTTGGTTCTGTTCACCTGTAAACCTAACCCCTTATTTGCATTGAAAGCGTAATTGTTTAGCTTAATAAAAAAAAAAATGAAGCAAAAATTGTAATCTGTTAAACAAAGATTAAACATGCATATATTGGAAGATTCGTTAATATTTTAATATTTTATAACCAGCACATTAAGAGAAACAATTGCAATAATGAAGTCTCATTTATTTATTTATCATAAAAAGTCTAGTATAAAAGACTAATATAAAAATGTGATGCATTTTAGCGATTGATCGTTGATGGATTTCTGCTTGTACTAAAATTGAAAAATCAAAATTTAACAAAAAATAAAATGATTTTCTTTATATTTTCTAAAATTACTTTTTCATATTGATAAGGAGTTTTGTTGTCAACGAAATTCTTTGAAACATTACCATCGAATCAAGGAGGCGACATTATCGTCGAATGAAAAAGACGACATTATAATCCCGATTTAGAACTAACTCCAAGAAAAAAAAAATAAAAAAATAAACACCTTAAAAGATATTCTTAATTTAAAGAAAAAAGAAAACACATGAAAACTGAGACGAAATGACGGAAGAGAGAAGGGCGGATGTGAAGTCAAGAAAACAAGTAAAAATGAAGAATATGGAAAAGAGATATTGAATGAAAAAACACACATGTCTACGACTTGTTTATTGACAATGTTTGGGGTATCAGAGCTCTTGTTTCAGGAATAAGATTCCCATTTCTTCGAGTAATGCTGTGCAGTACTGAAAAATAACAACAAACAGTTTTTCTGCATTGCTATAATATATCCCAGAGGTTATCGCGGAACTTTTGTGAAATCTCATCCAATTTTTTTACTGGAAAATTGGGCACGGAGTTATCGTTGAAATTTGATCAATTTAAGACTGAAAAGGAGGGAGATGAGATTATCGTGGGAAATTTGTGAAATCATGACTGAAAAAAAAAAACGGGACTGGATTATCGTGGGAATTTTGCCAATTTATAATTGAAAAAAAAACGTGGATCGTAGTTATTGAAGGACATTTGTGAAATTAAGACTGAAAAAAAGAAAAAAAAAGACAAAAATACGGAGCCGGTGTTATCGGTGGAATTTTGTCAATTTTTAAATGAAAAAACAGAGACCGGAATTATATTGGGAATTTTGTGAAATTGTGACTCAAAAAACAGTATTGGTGTTATCGGGGATATTTTGTCAATTTATGACTAAAAAAATGAACTGGGATTATCGTAGGAATGACAGACTAATCGCATGCTGAAGGTGAGAAGAAGTTGATAATGCACTCGTGAGAAGCATCTTTTTAAAATAGTATCTGATTGTTTGTAGAGAATTTTTATGCAAGCCGTAGTTAAGGAACAAGACTATTAATATGCAATCAACTCAGACTTGGTACAATGCCGCATATAATATAATAAATTCAATGAAGGTAGAATCCAATTCAGCTGTAATAGGTTTTTGTGAAACTGACTTACTAATCACGTCTTTTTCCTTTTTTTTTACGGCGGGGTAATGGATAGCGGTTCGGATTGAGGAATCGGAGAGTCGAGTTCGAATTACAGTCAGATCCATTACATTCACTTACATGTTAATACCCTTGGGAAAGGTATGAATCCTCTTCTTCTTCCCCCAGCTATGAGTAAATAGCAGGACAGACGGGGTTCTGTAGCCTTGGATGGCAACTGGTCTATCGCAGAAAGAAATGGCAACCTACTGCGGGAAAAAAAATCTGCCTCGTCAGTCATGTATCGAAAGATATATGATCGCCTAAGCGTGTATCACGCATGGTGACTGAATTATAATTTGAACAAATTATGATAAAAAAAGGTAAATGTTTTAATTAAACTAAATTTGATTAACCCTGATAATAGTTTTTTTTTTGCTTTGTGAAATTATCTTTATAAATCAATATCATTTGTCATTTTTTTAAACTGATGTTTTAAAAGTGTTTCTTGCACTTTTAGTCATTGTTTGATGCTAAAGAAAATAGTTGATTTATTTCTCTATGTTTTTTTAAACAGTTTTCAACCTTTCTGTTGATTCGGTTTTTTTTTTCTTTTTACGTGCTTTGTCTGTTTCTTGTTATTGTTGCTGCTATCTCACAGTGACTTGATTAAGTCATCAAGCTGAGTTCTCGATAGTCGAGATGACCTAAGCGACGGAGTTGGTTTCCTTGACACCGGCTTTCTTCCTTACAAACAAGAGCAGAACCCGCAAGCCATGATTACTCCTGTGTTCATCAACTGCAAACGGAATTTTGTTCCTTCTCTCACCCACGACCTTCCAATGCCTGTCGCTTGCTGTTGGCAGTTTCCTTTTCGACTCTCTCTCTCTGCAGAGAATTACAAATCACCAAAAAGCAGATAAAGATATTGGCAACGAATCAAGCGTTAAGCGGAGCAGCCTCATTCCTTCGTGTCTCATTTGCTTCCCGCGTCTTTTCAGAACGAGGCCAAGTGGATAAGCCTGCGGTTTTAAAGTGTGTTTAGAAGCGTGGTTTGATTTTTAAGTGATTCGATGGTTGGATGAGAACGAAGGTGACTTGTTTTGACCAGTTGAGTAGGTTTTGTGAAATTGCAACTCAGTCAACATGGGCACTGGGTAAAAGAGTGTAACCGTAAGAAGGCTTAATTTGTGCAGTCATTATTTATCAATATAACAGTAAACATGTGAGGAAAAAGGTGGGGAAAGACAGATAAAAAATAGATTTGAACGGTTTGATATAGGTAAGTATGAACAGATAGATAGATAGATAGATAGATAGATAGATAGTGAACAGACTGACAAATTGATAGTGATCAGACTGACTTAGATAAATAGTAAAGAGACTGACATAGATAGATAGATAGATAGATAGATAGTGAACAGATTGAAATATATATATATATATATATATATATATATATATATATATATATATATGGATATATAGCTAGCTATAGATAGATACATAGATAGATAGTGAACAAACTGGCATAGTGAACAAACTGGCATCGATAGATAGACAGATAGGCAGATAGTGAACAGACTGGCATAAATAGTGAACTGACAGACAGAAAGACGGACAGACAGACAGACAGATATATATATATATATATATATATATATATATATATATATATATATATATATAGATATATAGATAGATAGTGAACAAACTGACAGATAGATAGATAGATAGATAGATATTGAACAGACTGACAAATTGATAGTGATCAGACTGACTTAGTGAACAGTGAACAGACTGACATAGATATATAGATAGTGAACAGACTTATATATATATATATATATATATATATATATATATATATATATATATATATATATATATATATATATATATATAGAGAGATAGATAGATAGATAGATAGATAGATAGATAGATAGATTGAGATATAGTGAACAGACTAGCATAGATTGATAGATGGCGAGAGACTGACACATAGATAGTGAATAGACTGACGTAGATATAGAGATATACAGTTAACAGATATATATATATATATATATATATATATATATATAGAGAGAGAGAGAGAGAGAGAGAACAGACTGAGAGATAGTGAATAGGCATATATATATATATATATATATATATATATATATATATAGATATATAGATAGATAGATAGATAGATTGAGAACAGACTGACAGATAGATAGATAGATAGATAGATAGATAGATAGATAGATAGATAGATAGATAGACGGTACCTTTGAGCTCGAAATGCTATGAAGAATACAACCTCAATTCCTACAAATCATTAAACAAAACAGCCAACCGCCAGTTTCATAGAAGGAGATGAGTTGTTTCCCTTCTTCTCGGGATGCCATGAAGAGAACAGTATGATCTTCAAGAGAAATTTCATCATCATGGATTGTCATCGCGAAGGAAGATTTCGGAATCTATTCTATGTCTGTTGCGGAATAAAAGAATAGCCGTCAATCCGACACCAGTATTAAAGTTTTAAATGTGAAGTGTGGCCTACGAGGAAACAATGACACACTTTACAAAGGATGCTGAAAGGTTATCGGACCGAATCATTTTCAAAATGAGCAAACATCAAATTATTTTTACAATGGTTTCTTAGTCGAAACGAGAACTTTTCAGCACCACTTTGTAAAGGAAAAGTTTATATTTTATATGCCGTTATGCAGCGATTTAAGTACCCGGATGTTCGAACAATCTGTAGAAATCCTCCGCCATTTTAAATTACAGCTGAGAACGGCAAATTGAAGCGCAAAATCTAGAATATCCTCGGATGATGATGTTGCTGCTGCTGATGATGATGATAATAATAATGCATTTGGACTTCGGTCATATGACGTGTTTTTCGAGGCTCCGTAGAAACGTAAAATGTATAACAGATTTAACATAAATATTTCAGTGTAAATTCTTTTTTCCTAATGAATTTTGACATAATTATTATTAATTTGTAATGATTTTTATGTATATTTAATTTCTTTTTGATGTTAATTTAATTTTGTCGTAATTTTGTGATTATTCTATTATATATATATATATATATATATATAACACTATTAACCACATTTACTGGCCTGAAAATCCGAGAAATGTCATAGAAAATATGCGTCCTCCGACAGGAATCGAACCTGTACTCTACCCCGAACCGTCATATACCCTGACTGGCTATAGCAGTTTAGATACGAAGGTGGGTCTGCTTAGTAAGGTCGATTTTACTGTTTTTAAATGACGAACATTCAGGCCGGTAAATGTTGTTAATACTGTTTATAATGAACAGAGCATTTACTTAAATATTTGTGTCTATGCAATTACGTATAACAATAAAATATATTAAAATAAATCTCAGAGTTTGTCCATTTCGTAGTATATATATATATATATATATATATATATATATATATATATATATATATATATATATATATATATATATATATATATATATATATATATATAGATACACCTAGTGAGCCAGACAAACCTACCTAGGTTTCACCTAAACGAATCGTCAGGGAAAGCTTGGCCAAGCCTGTATTGAGCTCTTTTTTGTTAGTTAGTTGTTACTCGTATCGGGGTTTTTTCTTTGGGCTTCAGACCTGCATATGTTTTTTTTTTGTCGGCAGAAGTTCATGTTTGTAGCTCTTTCTTTTTTAAAACCTTTTTTTCCCTCGAAATTGATTTGATTAACAAATCAAAAATTCGAGGGTTTTTTCAAACGAGTCTAGTTATTTATATTTATATATATATATATATATATATATATATATATATATATATATATATATATATATATATACATACACGTGTGTCTGGGTGTGTATTCGAATCCTGCCCTGAATGCCGGTAAATAAAATAAATACCGTTTAAAATAAAAATGGAGCGTTTACTGAAATATGAATATTCGCTAAAATATTGTTTTGAAGTAATAAAAATATGTCATTTAAAAAAAAATAAAATCTATTAACTCTTTAGAAATTGCTTTGTTTACGTTTCAGATACAAAACTGAGTAGATATGAACTTTTGAACAATATGAACGAGTGAATGTGCTTTAAAGGCAAATAGATCGCAACATTGTGAACCTCATCGTGGCCGAATGGTTAAAGCATGATGGATCAGACTGTGTTTTCTGCTAGTAATGAGGCCACAGGTTCGAATCTTGCCGGATGGCATTTTTATTTTAGTAAGTATGTACATACCGCTAGATGAGGTAGATAGTGTTTAAAATTAAAAAAAAATATAAGTGTATAAAGAATATATATATATATATATATATATATATATATATATATATATATATATTGACCACTAATATTATCAATCTGTGTATGTTAAAAAATTGTTACATTTATTTATATTTGTAAGGGTGTTTTCTAGCAATAAAATTATAAAATATAAATAGTATTGACTGATGATTGCGTAACGAGTGAGAGTTGGCATAGAGTGTTGATTCTTATATCTACACTGTTTATACTTCAAACACTTTCTCGTTCTCTCTTTCTCACACACACACATATATTATACACTGTTATATTAGAACATGTAATTATCCAGTACAAAATTGTACATTTTGTTTCAAGGTTAAAATCAAATGTTTCTTCAGGTGGCTATCAATGATGGTACTAAACGATTTTATTCAAAATTGCTATTAATGAAACACTACTTCACTTTCGGTTTTTAGAAAATTTTCCATGAAAGGTAAAAAGGATTTATATTAAAAAAAAGGAAAGAAGATAAGAAATCAATAAAAAAAGGAAAGAAAAAGAAAAAGAAAAGAAAGTCAGTTGAAAGCAAAAGAAATTAACCCTACTCCCAAGAGAAAAGACAAAAAAAGAAAGGCAAGAGAAATAGAGAAGTATATTCAAAATTACCCAGATTCATAAGAAGAGGAAAGTCAAGAAAATAGGAAATAGAAAGATGTTGATACGGATTAAACCAATGAAATTCTGTTGAATCAGAGAATTCAGATTTGAATGGAAACGAAGTGTGAATGGATACACTGTATCTACATGTCGTATTTACAATTCTATGGCATTTGTATATGAAGTCATATATTCAAACAAAATTATTCACAGAATGTAAAACAGGACACTTTAAGAAGTAATACAATATTTAACAAAACCCATTTTAAAATATAAATTAGAATACAAAATAAATTATAAACTTTTATATTATATTAATTATAAAGTATTATTTAAAAAGCCAGATAAACATAATTAAAATAAAATAAAAATTAAATTAAAATTAAAAATAAAAATATAATTCAAGACTAATCGTACTGCTAGTAAATGACAAATATTAACCAATATAATACCTAAAACTGGAATAAATTAATGATATCATTGAAATGATAATAAACATAAAAAGATTGATTCTAGGATTAAGAAATTTAGCAATATTGTAAAGTTAATTCCTTTATGTGCTTACAACTTATCGCTGTTTTTGATTCAACAAAACTTATCGCTGCATCTTTGATTCAACAAAATGTCACTATTTGAGAACTTGATTATTTCCATTTTCTCCTGTAGACAGAGGAAACATGGTTCATTCAAAGACCTAGAAATTCTAGCTAGTTTTAGAATTTTCCATTTAACTTTAGGTGTTTTATTTTCGTCTTTCAATTTCCAAAAATATTTAGAAAGTCAAGTCATATTTCGTTTATCTGCATTATTAAAGATTAAATTGAGAGATGGTTATAGAAACGTATTTTTTTTTAAAATTCATTCATTGTACTTCCAACGTAAATTCGTTCGGAAATCCAGGGATTTTCAACTGATGCAATAGAACACATATACACAAGGGATTTTATTAAACATCTGTTAGATAACGGGCATTGGTTGGGGTTTCTACAATTACATAGATTATTTATAGGAGATAAATTAAGATCAGCATTAGTATTACGGTTATTATTGTTATATAAATTCAATATTTTATTGTTATGTGATTTATTCTCTCTCTCTCTCTCTATATATATATATATATATATATATATATATATATATATATTGTGTCATTTGAATCACTTCCTCCATAGCCTGCCTAACATTTCAGCTAAACTTTGCTCTTGTATATAAATAGTTATTACAAAATGAAATCCTTGCTAAAGTACCACAGAGGACGAAACGGGTTGGCTAAGGTGAGTTTTTCTTCTGTCTTTATTATTATTGTCCTTTTCAGATATATTCTATCTGAGATTTTCACACACACACACACACACACACACACACACACACAGTAGAGTTCAAAAGTTTGAAGCCACCCCCAGAATTAGCATCGGTTGAGCTTGACAGAAGAGTGAAAAATAAGGAAAAAGAGTTCTTACAGTCATTGAAAAAAGAATAAAATCATTTACCAAAATTTTTGCAACGAATGCCAAAAAATTGTGCTGCAGTGATCAAGGCTAAAGGTGGATATTTTGACAAGAGCAAAATAAGATTTTTTATCACAAACCCAACGAGAATTGAAACCCAGCCCACCGATGAAAAATCCCAAGCCATTTTTCATTAAACCACCCTCATATCCAAGTTTACAGAACCTGGTATTCCTAAGCGATCATCCCTTTAGGTACTGAAGATGCTTAACTTGAGTTATTGTACGCGAACCTGCGTTTCAATGTGATGTGGCCGTACGTCAAAGGTAGTAATAGTTAGTAAGATAGTCACAGAGATCATTATACTATAGCGAGTTTAATCTTCATTGGAGGCCTCACACTTGTAACCTTCTGTCAGATAAAACTCAGGTTTGCAAATATGAAGTGACAAATAAAAATTCCGTGGTTCTATACCTTTTTCCAATTTGAAGTTGATTAATCCATTTTGAAGTTGATTAATCCATTTTGAAGTTGATTAATTTTTTTACCTGAAAATAAGTCCATTTTGAAGTTGATTATTATCATTTTGAAGTTGAAAAGGTATAGTTAAAGCAGTGATCTTTATGAGAAGATTAATCACAGATATATCTCGGAAAAATGTATGAATTGATAGATTTCTAAATTTTAGCTTAATTTCGCTCAGAATCGCACGATATCATGAACATCCCTACTGTCGAAATAGTCGAGAATAAAACATTGTTAGTCACTTACTCATGACTGTAGGCTGAGATTTGACTAAAATCTGGAAGACATTTACGCCAGACATTCTTTCCCATAGCAATAAGTTGCTTATGTCGTGGATTTGGGTCTCTTAATGAATATATGACACTCAGGTCTGGGAGTTGTACTTATCGAAACAAGGAAGAGAAATAACCGATTTCTTTTTGGGGGATGTTTCAA